ATAAAACACTAATTCCCACATTACACCAAAACACTTTTAACATTGGATGCGCGTTTCGCTAACCATGTTAGCATCATCAGCAGATGAGTAAAACCATCAATTCGATGTTGGTCAAAGGATGCCTAGAGAAGCTCAACAAATTAGGCAAAGAAAATAAAGTCCTCCTACTCTGGGTGCCCGCTCACCAAGAGATAGAAGGCAATGAAAAAGCAAACGATGTAGCTCGAAAAAGAGCGAATCTCCCTAATAACAGGACCAGCACCGTTCTGGTCGAACTTTTGCCACAAAAACATTACAAATTTATGATTTCACTCTATTAACTATTTAGTTAACATGTTTAATTTATGTCAATGATGATAGGTATTGATAAATGCGATTCCAAATATCTCGAGAACTATTATTCGTAGCGATTTTTACCAAGCGACATTTTTTACGTAAAAAACTTTGTAAATGTATATTTTTTTACTCAGTAGTTTTATACAGGTACGGACGAAAAGTTATTACTCTTCGAACCAGTTAAACATATGTAGGTGGCAGCCTCTACAAGTAGGAGTCATATTGACATCAAAATCAAATTTCTCATATAAAAAAACTCCTATAGTCTGTCCAACGACAAGATCCTTGACAGTGATTGATGTGTCTGTCATTTTAATTTCAAAGTAGTTTATTTTATTTTAAAAAGAAATACGTTGGTACAACTGGAACGCATAGCAGAAAATTAATATATTTTACTTAAAATTTGACTGACAAGTGATTACTTCAAAATATTGTGAAAAAAACTGTATAAAGCTGAAAAAATGTAATCGAGTTATTTTATTTAACAAAAAATGTGGTATATGTTAATACAACACAAACAAGAACAAGACACCACATAGTACCCACCAAAAAAATATAAAAAAGAACTATTTCTCACTCTCAAGCTTCATGAAACTTCCCGCATTTATGATTATATTTATCAATATAACTTATGTATGACAAATTTGTAATATTCCACAGGAATAAATAAAACAACATAAATAAAACAAACTATTTTATTAATAATAACACTTACCAAATTTTATACCTTAAAGGTTGATTAATTAACTTTGATCTTAATTTTTTAAACCAGTACCTTTTGAAATTATTTTTCTGCAGTACTAAAATCCATTATTTACCTATCGTGTGATGTCGATATTTTACAGCTACTCCAGTTTTTAGTATGTGTTTAGTATGATCTTTCTACCATATACGAGATGCACTTATCTACGACGATATGGTATACAAACTTTACTGATGGTAACTTTATTGGTGTACTTCTGCCTGGGCAGCGAGTATTAACCATAAACTATGCTCTGGGTCTACAGTTAATTTTCGCTCGATTTTTCCTCCATTTGACTTCAAAAGACACAAAACACACGTAATAACACGAATCAAAATGCATCATCTTCCAAAACGCAAAGTATTTGACGATGGCGCGTCCCTGTTGGCATTAAGTTCATAACACGCCTACCATATATAAATAAAATGTTATAAAATGGTTGTTGATGTCAAAAAACTCCATTAAAAAAACCTTCTTTCGTTGCGCTCAGGTTACGTAGGTGATTTTATTAGACTCTGAAAACAAACTTGTGTTATTGATTCTAGAATCGATCGCAAAGGTGGCGATAGGCGCGATATTACATAAAAAATTAGGGTATTATAAACACGTTTAAACCTAAAGCGCAAATAAACTAGTATGAAATACTAACATTTTATTGGGTTAGAAAATACATATAAAGCTCGATGTATTCTTGGTGTGTGGTATTCTTCAGGTTTGGTATTGCTTAAAACAATTTTAAGTGTTGTTAAAAAAATTGTAAAAACTGTCTTAATTTTGTAAAGATCAAGCCATTTTTATATGTAAGCAAAGGATATTTGTACCACAGTTATAACATTCTTTGATCCAACTTAAATTTTAACTTGTACCACAGATAACATTATAATGTTATCTGTGCTTGTACGAACTATTGAACATGAAAAATTAATAATTAAAATGGGGTTGCCAGATTTTTCAGATTTCCGAAAAATCACGGATTCGGATAAGTTGTCCCGGATCCCGGAAAACCATTATACAATACTGGAAAAAATTAAATTACGGCATTTTTTATGTAAAAACGGTCTCTTGATAAAAATCGATACGAGTAATTGTTTTCGAGATATTTAGAATGAAAATTATCAATACCTGTCATCATTGACATAATTAAACGTGTTGACTACATAGTTATTAAAATAATAAATTTAAAATGTTTTTATACCAAAAATTCAACAGAAACTGTTTTATCGTCATTTTTTTGCAGAAAAATTTGTGATTAATTTAAAAAAAAAATAAAAATTTCCCAAATTTATTATTTCAGTCAAAAAACTATCTACTCAACGGGCTTATTTTTTGTCAATAATGACATGTATTGATTGTTTCCATTCTAAATATCTTGAGAACTGTTGCTCGTAGCGATTTTTACCAAAAGAGATTTTTTACGTAAAAAACGTAAATGTATATTTTTTACTCAGTAGTTTTATACAGGTACGGACGAAAACTTATTAGTCTTCAAAACTGTTAAAATACATATAGGTGGCGCCCCCTACAAATAGGAGCCATATTGACATAAAAATCAAATTTCTCATGTCAAAAAACTCCCATACACCAATTTTCATCCAAATATTGACGTTACTTCATAAATTATTTGGAAAAAATCGAAATAAAAATGAAACTATACCCTGTACCTCCAAAACTAAGCATTTTAGGACATATAAATTTATATAAACTTTTCGGACCACCCTGTAGATTAAATAAATATTTTTCATTTATTCTCAAAGACGGAGACGTGCCAATTTAGTAGTGCATATTTAGCATCAATAAGAACGGTAAAAAACACACGGTATTAAGACCTTACATTTTGTCGACAGTTTGCAAGCAAATTAGACTCATTTTTCGCTTGGATGCCTCGATATTATACCAACTGTACGGACACCAGGGTAATTACCAAGTCTTATTTACGATCGAGCCTTTTGTTTGGAAAGGTAATAGTCGAGCGAACATTTATCAGCAGGCGTGAAATGTGCGAAGTCATGTACATAAAGCACCAGTCGCCATTACGAATGCAACCATGGAATGGATAGCCAACGTAAAGTACGGACATCTTTCACAACATCGCTTCAGTTTTGCAGCTTGATAGCCGACAAGATAAAATAAATAATAAAACCGTATAATATTGCACTGGACATTTTCATTATTTACTTAACTTTATATATTTTATTTTATCCAACAGCCACTACTTATACAGACATTACTCACATGTATACATGCACATAAAATAAATAATAACACACGCGTGAGTTTTTCAAGTTATAAAAACTAATGTGCCAAACTTCAAAGCCACACCATTTTATAGAAATTATTAAGCTTTATTCATAAATTACTAATTCAAATATTTATTTAAATTAACATTAACATTAAATGAAAATAAAATATTTTTTGTAGATTCAGAAATTGTAAAACCTTGTATGCCTCCAGATGCTGTCCCCCCATTGCTTGAAATAGGCTCTGTCATTACAACGACTCATTCTAGAACACTTACAGCACCTTGAATCTTTATCGCAATCTCTGTTTTATTGTTGATGGACTCTTCGATATACAGGGTGTTTCAGAACAAATGCGAAAAACTTCAGCGGGTGATTCCTTGTTAAAAATAAAGGGTAGTTTGCTTTATAAACGTTGGGTCAAAAGTCAATCATTAGGAAGATATCGCAGTACAAAGATGGCGAAAAAACAATGTTTTTATTTTTTATCTTGAAAACGAAAAGAGATAGACTAATGAAATTTTATGGAAGCATTACTGTTATGAAAACACACTTTCTGGTAATTTTTTCACTTTTTTAAAATGAGTGGAAGGGGTTGAAATAAACTACCCCTATCATTCTTGTTAACGAAATTTAAAGAAAAATCTTATCAAACACATGCAAAAAATTAATTTGGATAGTTTAGTTTGTTTAGAAACTTTTTTATCTCTTGTGTTTTTTTGATAAAATTCACTGATTTGAAATTAAAAAATAAAATGTAAAGCATTACATGTCAGGACAAAAAAAAAATTAGATTAAGAATCTAGTGATAATAACGATAATAATAATCATCTAGATAATAACCTATTGCAGTAGAGTAATGTCAAATAAAATAATATTAGAAACATCCTAAAAAGTAACAGCGGCCGACTAGATTTTTTCCTAAAAAAATTACGGCAGCCCACTAGATTCTTTATCAGAAAATATTTTTTGTCCTGACATGTAATGCTTTACATTTTATTTTTTAATTTCAAATCGGTGAGTTTTATCAAAAAAATACAAGAGATAAAAAAGTTTCTAAACAAACTAAACTACCCAAATTAATTTTTTGCATGTGTTTGATAAGATTTTTCTTTAAATTTCGTTAACAAGAATGATAGGGGTAGTTTATTTCAACCCCTTCCATTCATTTTAAAAAATTTAAAAAATTACCAGAAAGGGTGTTTTGATAACAGCAATGCTTCCATAAAATTTCATTAGTCTATCGCTTTTCGTTTTCAAGATAAAAAATAAAAACATTATTTTTCCGCCATCTTTGTTCCGTGATATCTCCCTAATGGTTGATTTTTGATCCAACATTTATAAAGCAAACTACCCTTTATTTTTAACAAGGAATCACCCCCTGAAGTTTTTCGCATTTGTTTTGAAACTCCCTGTATATCCTTCCGCAACCGTTGCAAATCGCCATCCTCCATGTCTTTTTAACGTTGTCATGTTCACTCCTGCATTTGCCAGTAATGTAGCGGATGATCTTCTCAAACAATGGCCAGTGTATTGCTCAGGATGTTGTAGACCCAAGTACGTAACAATTTTTGATGGCATTCTCGACAAAGTATTGATTCCCCGCGCATTGCGTTGTGTATTTACCATTTTGATTAAACACAAAAAAATATTTTATGGGGAGTACCCTTTGGTCTCAAACGTAGTTAATTTCTGCACAATTCCACAGGATTGACAGGAAATCCTTCCGGCATTACAGTAAAACTTTGTGGTTTCTTGGACTTCGTATCGGGTATCATGACATACAAGTAAGAATCGTTGTCTCTAATATTCTCCACATTCAAATTCGTCAACTCATCACACCTGCATGCACCCGCGATTCCAATAATAAGTGCCGTTTTAATCAACAAAAACTCACCGTCCGGGGCTTCTTCCAAGAACTTCTTGATATCGTTACATTCCATGGTTTCTGATTTCCTTGGCTTGAGAGTTGACTTGAGCACTGAATACTAATTAGTTATACTGAATAAATTAGTCCATAAGGATGATGGAACAAATTTCTTCTGTAGTTCAAAGAAGTAAACAAGCGAGATAGTTTCGTTTATACCTGTGACATGTTTTACTTTCATCCACTCTTCAAACGCCTTGAATTCCCTATCATATATACGCCACGAGACTGTTCTGGTAGTAGTTGTGCTGTAGCCGCCTCTGGCTGGTTAATAATTTCTTGCGGAAGATCTTCCTGAATCATTTTTCTTTAAAATCTGACTTGCTGGTTGATGATTCACTATTTTATCGTTAAAAAATCGCGATTTATCTAAATGACATCTTAATGTCAGTGCTATTTATTATTTACAAAAAAAAACGCACATCTACGATATATTGCATAGTAACAGAAACGCATCCTGATAATTTATTAATTCGCAACAATGAAAGTAGAACTGGTAGATTCTTTTAAATCAATTATTCTTTAGAGATTGGACATGAATCAGTTCTGCTGTTGGATAAAATTTCGTATGGCACTCGTGTGTTATAACATATAAGTCACTTGAGAAAATTAGCCCTTTTTGCCTAGGACCTCGAGGGCTAAACATTTCCCAGCGTGACTTATATGTAATATAACACACTAGTACCTTAAATAACTATTAAACATTCCTAAAATATTTATTTTATATCTGCTTCTTCGACAGTACTTTACCTGTCATGCATATATCAAATCAGAACTCAAGAACCTGGAAGACTCCATCCGTAACCTGGAATGGAACTCCTTCAACGACCTAAAACGCTTCAAGAAACTCCTCAGGACTAACGACCTAGAAAAATCAAAGATATTGCCCTTGGTTTAAGTAAGAACAATCCTCAATGAACACCTCAGTAGATTGAAGCTAATAAACAACGACGAATGCAGATTCTGTGGGGAAACATCAGAACACCCTATCAGTGAATGTGCCGAGACGACAACCATTCATGGCATAAACTTTGGTACAACTAATATCGGAGAACTAACCTCTGTAAAATCTTTTCAGATACTGGATTTTGTCAAAGCCCTGAGAATGTGTGATGAGTTATAACTTTAGTAAAACTTTTAAATATTCTAAGTTACAAATAATTTATAAAACTAAAATATGCTATATATTTTATAAAACTATATGAATACATTCATTGTTTCTTGTATATTAATCCTGAGAATTTCCGAGCCAAGTGAATTAGCTACACCGATTTGTACACAAATCGATTAGTAGCTTTTTAGGTCGAATTTAGAATGACGTTAAAAACTAGGACGACCTTTTTTCGACACACTTGCAAGGTTTTATGCATGCTTTAGAGTTTTTTAACGACAATGTGTAAAATACATCCGTACCCTGTTAACTACTAAACGTACGTTAATAAGTTAAATAAATGTGTTCAATATTGAAACAGATGTTGACTGAAACAGTAATGTAAACGTATTTGTATTTTAGTCTAGTTGGGCTGCAAAATATTTTTTTATTATTCAGTCATATTCACCAAATTCCTATCTGCGAGGGGTTTTAAAAGGTCTAATACTAATATTGTGTTTTTCATTTGATGTTGCTAAACAGAAAATTACACCAATTATTTTTTGAAATTCTGAACGAATATTTCGCAGTTTTGTTTAATCATATTACCATCATTATCAAATGAAGGGTAACTGAGATACTATGGAGAACTCAAAATGCAACATTTTCAATTTCACCCAAAAACCAAGCAAGCTATGAATATTTTGTATATAACAACTTGGTCTTCACAAGAATAGTGATATAGTCTCACGAAAGCCGTATCTCTCTTATTTACTATTAAGACACATAGGTACTCCATGAATATAACAAAAATGAGACTGTGAATCGTTATGGCGATCTTGTAAGTCGGAGAGAGAAAAAGGCAAAGTGTTGATTACATAACCTTTAAATATTTGCTCTTCTTTGTTTAGTACATCTTATTGTAGTGAGCGTATTAACTGATACTGTACTCTTCGAACATACGAAATGCGGCATCCAAAGCCAGACCTTGCCAATCCGGTATACACAATATAATGATTAATTTAATTACATTAAGCGTTATGTTTTAAATCACTACTGATACTTTGTATTCGCGTGTTGAGATATTTCTCGTTTGTCAGATAAGAATAATGTTACACTACATATAAATGCGATAAACACGGTCGTTGTAGAATTCCACGGATACTGGTCGAGATCCGATAATCCCAAATTAATGAACGGCAATATAGAACGTCCGACTTGGGCTATTTCGATCGTTTAAAAATCGAGCAAAAGCGCGGTATGTTCGCGCATTCCTTCAAACGATCCTCCCGGTCTGCGTCTCGACAAGTTAATCAGTCATAATTCCCTTTTGGAAGCGCTCCGTAGCGAACACTTCTTTTCTTCGCCGATCTATTCGAGGCTAATTATACGCGCTTTTGAAAAGTGTTGGCAGTCGTTCTTCATTCCTGCTCGATTTAAATTTAAACCGGATTAACGTTGCGCAATCATTTGAACCTGAAATACCGGAGCCTTGTAACGCGACAATGTTTCGTTTTGGCTAGCATCGCGTCTTAGAAAAACATACTAATTGTTTTAACGTCGTAAGAATAATAATAGGAATTTTACTAGATACAGGATTAGACAATCACATAAATCAGCCTCTCTCATGAGTTCCTAATAATAAATCTTTAGTTTCGGAGCTGTAAAAAGTTACGTCCCTAGCCCATCCGTAGTGCAGTTATTTTCATATTTAGATTTATATTATAAGATGTTTGAAAAATGAAAAAAAAAACTGATAGCCATACACTTTCAACAGAAGGAAAAGAACTGTATAATATTTAAAAAAAATACACGTTGCCTTTTCTTTTTCATTCTTTTATTTAAATTTGATAACGATAAGCAAAAATACCCAAATAACTATAATACATTCAACTACATACCCAACTTATCTAAATGTCACTTTATCTACACAAGAAAACATTAGACCATAGTACTACCAGTTATGACCTATGCATGCGAAACCTGGACACTTAAAACGGACATTTATAAATAAAATATGCTGGGAATAACCAAGAGAGATCGCAAAAGAATACAGTGGATACGACAAAAAACTCAGGTAATAGTCATGTTATCCACAGGCCATGTCATCCACAGAATCAAATCTCTCAAGTGGCAATGGGCAAAACATCTAGCAAGAAGGACGGATGGACCACAAAATGGATCAAGGCAAGATGGACCACAAAAATTACAGCATGTAATTAGGAGACCTAGAAGAGGGCCAAACCTAAGATGGGATATGATATTAGGAAATTAGCAGTGATAACTTGGGCCCGCATAGCCAACAATAGACAACAATGCGCCCAACTACAAAGAGAGTATGTAAATATGTGAGGGAGACTACACCATAATTGGAAATGGTTGAATAATGATGATGGTGATGATGATGATGTTTAACTTAAATACTAACTAAGCCAACTAATAGAGATCAAATAAAAAAAAGAATTATCATATTCACACTAGGATATTATTATTAGCGGATTATATTATTTCCAATCCTCATTAAAACAAAGGTTATCCACATTTATATTATTCATTAAAATTTCATACCTAACAACGGTGAAAACATATAATAAGTAGCTTTGTTTTGCAAGTTCCTTTTTGGGTTTTAGCTTGCATTTTTATGTCTTTATCTTGCAATTTATACGTCTCCAAATATAGACTGCACGGATCTTTTAATGCACGTATTGTGTTTCTGCCTCTCTATACGATAACATTTCCGTGCCCTATCGTTTCTGTTACGTTTTTGTTTTACTTTTACGTGCTTTGATTTATATTTTTATTGCCGTTTTAAAACAAAATCACGGAACCACAAGGATGCAAACGATATATCGATGTAGTAGATATATCGATGTAGCAAAATATCGATATTTAAGTATGATAGTAAATCAAAAAATCCCATAAAACGCCGCACGGAATGTATGGATGCCTCCTACTGCAAGTTCATCAAGGGACACCGCTAAATAGAAAGTAAAAATATCTTTAGGAAAAATGTATCCATGGGCATTAAAAAACCGTAGTTATTTCTATGATAATACTTAATGATTACTGCTAATATTTTAATAGAGGAACGTCGGTGGATGAAGTTGAGGAATGTTGTTTGTATTTTGAAGTCTGTTGCACCTGACTGCCAATAAATAACTACTATAGACGCTCGCTCCTTAAGGCATCTCGTACCGACCGTTTTATTGGTTATTACCATCTTCAAAATTATTAGCGAGATGTTTTACGAACTTCCGTTGAGTGAGTTAAGGCAAGGTAAAGAAACAAAAGTAGAAAAAAATAGCGTGGAATTCGCTTGCATTTACTGTGTTACGTGGGTATCTCAGTACAGAGTTAATTTTTGTGATAAATTTTAGAGTTTTGTATTTTCTTTATTGTATCATCATCGTCATACTCATTTTCAGCTTATTCAACCATTTCCAATTATGGTGTAGCCTCCATACTCTCTTTGTAGTTGGGTTCATTAATTAAGTTATCCCTGCTAATTTCCTAATATCACGGTCCCATCTTAGGTTCGGTCTTCCTCTAGGTCTCTTAATTTTTGTGATCCATCTAGGTGTTTTGCCCACTGCCACTTGAGAGATTTGATTCTGTGGATAACATCTATTACCTGGGTCTTTTGTCGTATCCACTCTATTCTTTTACGGTCTTTCTTGGTTATTCCCAGTATACTTCGTTCCATTGAGCGTTGGGCGACCTGCAGTTTTCTTATGATGTCCGTTTTAAGTGTCCAGGTTTCGCATGCATAGGTCTTGACTGGAAGTACTCAATGCTAACTTAATAACTTTATTGTATGTTGTTCGATAAATAAAATAATTGTATGTACTTGACTTCTTTGCCCGATCTCTTGATATCTAAATATAAATTAAACAAGTCGTAAAACACTGCAATATTGCTTACAGTTGAGGCTTGGAATATTTGGTGATTTAACAGCAAATTTTTGTTTTTGG